ACATTGTAGCCGGTCAAAATGCATGAACAATAATAAAAATAAACAACAATAAATACGACAATAACAATTCCAGATCGCAGAAATGTGGTGATTAAAGTTTTGATAGATCTCTCCACAAACATAAGACTGTCACTTCCTTGTTTCAGGAAAAAAATGTACTCTTCCCGTCTTACGATACGTGAACAAAGTGGCAAAGGTGATCAGAATAACAGAAGTAAACATAAATGGGTTTATTACGCACTTATTACTAAGAGTAAAATGCGGGAGCTGACTTTCAAAAGATAAAAATATATCAATCAATATAAGGTTTCGTTTTTTTTTTTTGGGCCGCTACATAGCAAACGATGGCAATCTTTTGGGATTATTTCGGATGTTTGTGGAAACAGCGCCACCGGTGGTTGTAGGAAGAGAAACGAGATCGGGCTGATTTCTTTCTAGCCCAGACTGTAGATTCACTGAGTGAAATCGGCATCGGTAGCGATTAAAGAAGGCACCGTGTGAAATACGGTCGCGGGAGTAATGAACCCGAACGAGGTGGAGTGATTCATTCAATCATCCTTTCTTCCCTAAAATGAATTTGGAAGGAGATAACCAGACTAAACACCTGTCTAATCCACGTGCAAATCACACACACACACACCAGAAAAAGCTCAGATGACAGAAGTCTGTGTTTTGTGGTGTTTTGTGGTTTGATTCTTCTGATGGGTATATTTATTATTCGGAGGGAACACGTTACGACTTGTTTAACTCTTGAACGCAGCTGCCGAGCTGTCTTTTAGAGTGTGCGTAATAACTTGCCCCATTATCGCTGCTATTATGCCATCAATGACACCCTGGGATATAATGCAAACCAAACAGTGTCATTGTTTAGATATTGATAGATTTTAGCCTCCCTTCTAAAATCACCACTAGCTGCAAAAAAGCTATATTAAAAAAAAAAGGATTACCTAGTTACCACTGTGATAATAAACTAATGTTGCTCTGTGAGTACTGTAGAAACACTGATCCGCATCTTTATTTGAAGTCGCAGTTTATTCGTACATCTTGTTTGTAAACCGTGACGAGAACACCGCTGTACAACCCGAGTCTAACCTCAGCGAGAACCCGACGGTGACCGCAGGCTGAGTCGTGGTTTTCCAGAGGCTCAATTACGTTAAAGAACTCTTAGCTACACGAGGAAGGAAAGAGCGTGCGGAGTCTTCTCTCGGATGGAAACAAGCGGCCAATTGTTTTTTTCTCCCCCCCCCTCCCTCGCTGATGATAAATGACTGCGAGCCGTCGAGGTGTTTAGAGATTAACGAGCGAGTTAGAGTGTTTAACACACAACAGCTACTTCAGTGAGACCCGATGCTGAGGATCACGTAAACACTTTATAAATACTGGGCTAGGAGGATAATTATTTTGATTGTGGGCTCTCGGGACACTCCCCCACTTTAACATCTGTTTGAAATATGGGCTGGTGTGTGTGCGTGAGGTTGAGCGTGTGTATGTGTTTCTAACTCTCCAAAAGAAAAGAAAAAAAGAAGGAAAAAGCATGTCTGTGTATACACTTTCTCTGCATTTCTTCCCCTTTCTTTGTATCTCTCTCGCTCTCTCTGATTAATCGGGTCTCTCTAAACTCCACCTGGCATCACGGCGGAGGCGGAGTCTGTCAGGAGACACGGCAGCAGGGGATCGTGGGATAGCTGGAGGCCTGCTGTCGAGGACTAAGGCAGAGCTACTGGGTAAACTGTAAAATGCTACTAGGATGAGGGCAGCTCCACTCGTTCACGCTGTTATTCTACTGAAGAATAGTTTGGCCTAAAATATTAAACGTGAAAGATTTCTTTTTCCGCTGAGCCTAGCCTGTTAACGGTTTTGTCACGACCATACAAGATAACAGCTAATAAACTGCAACTGGTTTTCCACCAGCGTCTCTATTTTATCCACAAGCCTGGCTTGTAGACCTTGCATACTTATCCCCTCTGTTCTCGATTCCAGCAACGGGACTACGATGAGAGGAGCAGACACGCCTCCGTTAGAACCACAGAGCCATGTGACGGTGATCAGTTAACACGGCCTGCTGCTGAAAGCACATCGGCAAAGTCTTCTCTAACGCAAAGGACGAAAATGTTGTGGCGGACACATTTTAGCTTGGAAGACATGTTACAGTCAGTACGTTTACATGGACGACAATAATCCGATATTAACCAGATTAAGCCGATACTCTGATTAAGAAACTACCATGTAAACAGCGATTATTGATGACCTTAATCAGTCATACTCGATGTAAACACAAATGGAATTAAGACGTGTGTTGTACTCCTGTTTTAGTCGCATTATCGGCGTGCGTTACAGACACGTACACACCTTAATCACACTATTAACGTCGTGTGAGAGTTTTCACCGCATTTTACGACAGGACACGTACACGCACTCGGCAGCGCTCGACCGTTTCACAAACAAGAGCTTCCAACTGTACTAAATTCCCGCAGATTTCCCGCAGGTTTGGGCCGAGACGCGTCATGTGACGTCGTCACGATGCGTATTCAGCCAAAACGCTCTTCGATTCACGTGTATCGAACATGAGTACAGCTAAAAGGTAACATTCAATTCAATTCGATTTGTGTAGCGCTTTTAATAATGGACATTGTCTCAAAGCAGCTTTAGAGAAACATATAAACACGGGATACAGATATTAAGTGTGTGAATTTATCCCAGTTGAGCAAGCCAGTGGCGACGAAGGCAAGGAAAAACTCCCTAAGATGATCTGAGGAAGAAACCTTGAGAGGAGGGAGAAGGGATCCCAGAAGGGAACCCATCCTCATCTGGATATGTACGTGCCACGGTCAGTCTTCCGAATAACTGGTAAACTATGGCAGCGTATTATTTTACAGTAAAACATACCTGGTGTGCCTCATGTAGGTCCAGCTGTAGTAAAGACAGTAGTAAAGAAGTGAACTAGTGCTATGTGAGTCAGCACAATCTTCTCATTATACACATGCGCACACATCATTTCCCTGTTCCGCTCGCTCCCCCTGAAGTGGGATCACGCCCCGCTGTGTGGCAGGGTCCCGGGGTGGCGCTTGGTGACTGATCAGAGAGAGTCGCACGGCGTGCTGTTTACCGACGTTCTTTATCTTGTTCTTTAACAGGCGGAATCGATCAATCCGTGCGCGGCTGCGACTGCACGGCTTCGCCATTCCAGGCACGGCTTGGCTCGCGTGCTCCGGCTCGGCCATTGCCCGGAGTTACCTGAGCCAAATTGGATCAACAAGCTCCGATTCCCCTGTACTGCCGCAATCCGAGATGAAGATCATATTAGAGGGAAGGGAGCAAAGTGAGCAAAGAGAGAGAGAGAGAGTGAAAGAGATAGCGACTTGGCATGTACATCGTTGTACTGAAGTCAACGTGCACCATTTTGGAGGGCCGTTTGTGCCTCTGTATCGACGTTGAAGCGGGAAGACCGTCTAGTTTAACCGCCTCGTGGATGTACAATCGGCTGACTCGGTACATCCAGGCTACGGAAAAAAAAAAAAAGGAATGACAACACAAAATGAGAAACCAAACGCAAACGGGTCTTAGTTCCTATGTCCTCATTTATAAAATCAAAATATCCTACTGCCTGTCATAAAAGCCAATAAACAGGATCGTAAAAAACAGAAAGGGCTAATGAGCAGACACATCCACGGGGCAGGCAAGCTCAGTGATCTAGCGTACGCATTATTACAAACCAATTAAGCAGACATTTCTGCTTAATACACAGACTTCTCCATGTCGAACGGGCCTTATAAAAACTGCAAAGTTTTAAAAGGCTAATCATTTGCATTTACCCATTGAAAGGGAATAAATATGGCAGTGCTTCCACAGACCTGCTTATTCGTATGCGCTAATGGCCGTATGATAGATTTGAAGAACAAACCTTGACTAGCTTTGCCATTTTTTTTTCTTTCTTTTCTGCAGTTGCCCTACAGATATTTTACATTATTCAATCAAAAATACCATCTTTCTGATTCCAACTTTCTTTTTTATATAGTTTAATGTTTAATAGGGGCCCGTGGCGATCTATGAGAGCAATTATTAGATATCCGCAGAGAGAAATTGAAAAATTAATCATACGCTCGACTTTGCTCTCGCGCTGGTACACGGGAAATGGCTGCTGCTCGCTTTCAAGCGCGACACGCACTCCGCAGGGTTGGGGGCTGCAGAAAACAATCGCATTAATATCACAATTAAGAGATTATTTACTTCTGTGGCCCTCCGCGACGATAACCTGCCGAAGCGACGACCGCCCTCGATCGCACCGCAACGATATTGGTGTGGGAAGGTGAACCACAACATCCGAACGATGAGACAATATAGAGATATTAAAGCAAGTTCTGTTGAGATGTGAAGGCATTAGGGAAATTACCAACATAATTCTCCTCATGCTCCTTTCGACATCACACTCTCACAACACACACACACACACACAAAAGAAACAAAACAAAAACACACGGAAACACACATGCAACAGCTGCTGCCGAGCCTGGCAAAAACATGTAAGCATATGCGGTGTAAATATTCATTAAGCTACAGCGTTTTGCTTTTTTGGCTTTTTGCCCTGGTGATCATGCTATGCGGTGTCGAAGTTCTGCTTGAACAACGAGAAAAGCGAAATATAACACGTATAATAATAATAATAATAATAATAATAATAATAATAAGCTAATTATTAAGCTGGCTGAAGATTGTGGGAGTTGAAGTACAGTCAGTTCCTCAGAGCTCGCATGATGGGTAATATTCCTGCTGGTTAGAAGTGTGTGCTGTGAGCTAGGGCTGGGCAATATGATGATTTTGTGTGCATTGTGACATTTTTAACGACTTATCGATTCACTCTGATCTGATTCTAATCTGAGCACAGGATATTTTTAATTACATTACAGCATTTGGCAGACGCCTTTATCCAGAGCAACATACGTTTATCTCATTCACACAACTGCGCAGTTGAGGGTTAGGGGCCTTGCTCAAGGGCCCAGCAGTGGCAGTGCTGGGATTTGAACTCACAACCTTCTGATCAGTAGCCCGACGTCTTAACCAATGAGCTACCACCTCCCTGTGTCTTCAATTTAAGACTTAATGTTTCTGTAGATAAGAATCGTTCAACTTTGTGGGTTTTTTTTTTTTGCTCGCGGTTTATTAGCAAACCGATATATCGTGATGCGTATCGCGCACCGTGGAAATGCATTCTCGCATCGAATTTTGGTCACCTCGCCCACTCCTACTGAGAGCTACGGTGCTGAACTGGGTTATATGAAAAGATCGGATCTGAACGCTTATTTTTCATTACATCATCCAACATCTGCTTGCCATGCCTGTCAATCTTAATGCCACATCTCGAGGTAAATCGGGCTCATTTTCCTTCCTCGACACTCGCACTTTCTGGCTGGTCTTAAACGATTATGTTCTCAGATTACCCTGTAGTGCGCGGAGTGTAGAATCGAATCGTAACGACGGCGTTCTATTCGCAAGCCGGTTGAGGTGTCCCGAGGTTCAATATTTAAGACTCGACATCCTGTAGTGTCAGAGAAAGTAGTTATCTCCTGTCCCAATCAACTGTCTCATGACTCACTCTCGACATGAAAGAACGATCATCAATGGCAGCTAAGCTAACGTGTCATCCAGTGTTTATTTTGAGTGTGTTCACAAGAGATTTATTTTTTTTTTTTCTCCTCGGGTTTCCGAGAAACGGGCTCATCGCTTACGATTAGCGATTTCTCATCATAATGTGAACGAAAGTGTGTGGTTTATTCTGAGCGAATCGTGTAGTGCGGTTGACGACTGGAGAACCATTCAGGACAAAATGAATCTGCAAAAATCAGTCATTATACCACGCACATGTTCGGCATCAGTTAGCGTTGTATAAATCTAGCAGCAGTCCCAGGCTTAAATCATGTACCAGTTAGCTCTAATCAAACAGCTATAAATACTTCTTTTTTTCCTATGTATGATTGAACTGAAATATCGCCAGATTTCCATTCTGCATTCCATTCACAGACATCGTATCTCTTCTTCTCCCCCAGCACCTGCAGGGAAGCTCGTGATGGAAAAAGCGGTGCTTTATTTTCAGAGGTCAGGTACACGCAGGAAATATGCACTGGTTCTTGGGAAACAACAGGCGAGTGAGAGAAAAAAAAAAAAAAGAGAGGGAGGAAGAGACAGACGTGCGCATAAAGGCACTGCCTTATTTTCTGTGCCATTTGCTGGCTTGCACTCTCACAGCCCCTTCCCATTACATCATGTCAGAGACTGTAAACAAGCAAATAACAACAGGGCAGTGAAGCCTTGAGCACAGCACTATGCACCTCCCCGCACTGCGAGGGGAATTGCTCTGCTCATTCTCCCAGCCTACAAAACATTTGTTTTTTTATTGACCGACTAAATAATACATCACATTTTCCTTCCCTCATGAAGAAATGGTGAAGGGGGGGACAAGAAAAAAAAAAGGGAAGGATTTATGAGAGGGGAACAGAGGGGAAACTATTTATGGCAGGCGTCATTCATAGATAGGCGAGGGACCATCAGCCATATTTATGGGCCGCCATCATATCATAGACGGCGAATATCATTCTCTGAATGGTACGCAAACTGCCGCCGCCGCCATCTCTCTTCCGAATAGAGGCCGTGTCACATCCACTGGGCTCGACAGGTCATTATTAACAACAGAAAACACACAGGAACGACGCCACCGAAGTTTGAAGATTACGCTGTAGCCTGTAGATACAACGGTTCAAAATAGGCACGGCGACGAGAGTCCTTGTTTCGTTGGGACTGTACGTAACTCGTCGGCGTGTGGTAATTATTACTCGACGCTCGTATCTACTTTAGGCTCGTCCGTACGTAACTGTCAGGGCTTTTAACAGCCCGGAAGATTTACGCTGTACAGTATTGACAGTCTATACGATAACCCCAGGTAATATATATATATATATATATCCTGTTTGAATCGACATGTTGGTAAAAGACTCCACTGTGTCCTGTTGGAAGAAAAAAAAAAAACAACACTTTTACACGTTTTCTTCAGCTTAAGCCAAAACCATGGTCCAAACAAGTGTTTCCACGTTGAAGTGGAAACACAGATGTGTCAAAATATTACTTGGTCAAAAATGTACTTAAGCCGCTCTATAATTGCCGTCTAGGTAATTCATATTAGCTACTGGAATGAATGCTAATCTAACCTGGTATTAGCCAAAAACAAACAAACAAAAACAGGCTAAATTAGGTGAAAAAATAGCCCGTTAATGTGCATGTTTTTCTAATTAGATGGATTTCATCGTTCTAGCGAGGCAAAGGAGATTTTATCCCAGTCTCTATTTACTCCAGCATTGTACTGAAGTAGGGTCATGGGTGCTCATCCTCAAGCTCCACACTGTAGTCTTATCCAGTCACACGGATAGCTACCGTGCAGCACCAACTCCATGGCGTAGCATGAAAAGGTCACAGCAGGTGACCTACAACTGGGCAGTTTTTGCCACTTTTCCACATCATTGAGGAACTTGATTGGAAGCTTCAATCTAAAATGATTGGATGCAAAACTAAACACATTCGATTGATGGACGAAGTACGTTCATTGGCTTGATGAGAGGAGTGGAGACCTTTGAGTATATGCGACAAGTGATTTGAAGGTCTAAATAAAAGATAATCATTATTTTTCTTTCTTGGAAATGTAATTAAGCATGGGTGTGTTTCAATATTTCACTAATACTAAAGGAAAGATTACATATGCCAGATACTTAAGTATAGCAACGATGTACAATTACTCAAGTATTTTCCACCACTGGTCATAGGACCTACTCCTACATGTGACTAATCATGCACAACCCGTGTGGCCACACGCCCTACAACAAACATTTATAATAAAGGTCAAAACGATCGATTTGTATTCAAATAAGTTGTGAGTGGTATGCATGGAATTTCTGTAGTATGCATGGCCTGTTCGTGTGGCATCGTGAAGACACTCCTCTCTGTGATTTATACAGACGTCGCTTACCCTGTGCGACTCAATCACGGTTACCACGGACACCCGCCAGCGACATTACCTAACAGATATAGGTCTGGAAATAACATCCTGTCTGAATAGTACTTTGTATAACACAAAGACACTGTATGGCCAAAAATATTTGGACACTTGAGCATCACTCTCGAGTGCGTTTTTTGGGCATGCCGTTCCAGATTTAGTCCGACCTTTTCTGCAGTGACAACCTCCAGTCTCCTGGGAAGGCACAGGGACATCATGATGAAATATGTCTGCGTTAGGGTTAATAGTCTGAGGAAGGCCCACGTGTGTCCACAAACATTTGGCCATACAGTCAGCAATATTCAGAGGCGCTTGCAATTTTTCACAATCGCCGCCATGCCCGTTCAGCCGAGCCCTCTTCGATTCACACGCGCCGAACATAAGCACAGCTAAAAGGTCTCATTTACCAACAAACATCGCTGCGAAAGGCCAATTTTCGCCAATTCAAACGCAGCATTTTTTTTTTTTTAAAGCCGCAGCTAAATCAAGCATTTTTTGGCCGCAATAGTCACAAAAAAAAAAAAACCCAAATGAGATGAACTGAATGGACTACATGTTTGGGACGCATTAAAAAAAAAGAAAAATCCTTTTTGGTTCACTGAAAGCAAATATTTACCATGCACAGTTGTGTGTTGACTATACACTATGAAGCACACATGAAAGAGCCTGGCAGCATGTGCAGCAACAGTGACAAATTTCTACTCCATCACTGGCTGTGTGACCTTAGCACAGAACCACAACCCTCTGAATCGACGCTTCACCTGTCCCACATCGAGACATTATGAATAAGAAATACCAGCTAGCTCCACTACAGGACTTTCACATTAGTGAGACTGTCTATGATTGAAGTGCACGCACACACACACACACACACACACACACACACACACACACACACACAAATGTGCTGAAACCCCTCTACTTATCTGTTCATCAGACACTCGCACTCTCTCATGCTCAAAGCTGTTTGTCCAAATCTCTAGAGCTTCTCGGAGATGCCTTAATCAGGAGCGTGTTCAGTGGATGAACACTATATTGAAACAAATAAATGCTTTAAAAGCATGTACGGAAAAAGAAAGGCCCAGTTATCATTTCAATGCCACGTTTAACCCTTATCGTCCCCGTTCCTCAGGGCCCATTCTATGTTAATTGGATCTCCACGGCATTTGTATCGGGGGTGTTAACATGCACAGTCCATGAATATTAATTACCCAGAAGTTTTCGGATCCTAGTTGAAAAAAAAATAAAAAAATAATCAAAAATAAAATACTTTCCCTGATACATATTAATTCGGCGAAAGTTTTTGTGAAAAGTCAAAAGCTCATTAAAAATGCATAAGCGCCTCAATTCCCGTGACGGTTAACGCATCTTTAAATTGAGCCCTAATAACTTCGCTCCGATTTGGGCATATACGTAACGGAAGCACTTTTCGCCGAACTGTTTTTAACGTTCGGGTGCTAAAAGCTTAAAGAAAAGCCGTCTTTTTAAACGACAAGTCTGCTGTTTTGACTGGTAAAAGACGTAGCTTATGAGATGGACGAATGTAGGAGAAGCGAAGTGTCTCATTCATTTAAACAAAGATACAGGCTCGGTCTTAATCTGAAATCCTCCCTGGTGGGGTTTAGAGTCGTTCGAATGAGCTATCTAATACTAAAACAACACCAACACCACAGAGGGCCGCCTCGTTGCCCCAGCTGCCTACAACACCTGCTCCAAGTTTACAGTTCCCCTCTTTACAGCATCAAAGCCCATCCGATTAGCGTAGACGATGAGAGGTGCTTCATGCTCCTAATGGTACCAGCATAGCAGGCATCATTTACATGGGAGGTCTCTCGCTCGCTCGCTCTCACACACACGCTATTTTTTAAAAGAAGGGGAAAAAATGAGACAAGGAGAGCTTACATCATCTATGTAAATGTAAATATGGGAAGTAGAACAATGGGACGGCCAACAGAACTGGAAAAAAAAGAGGCATACACATGTATCACTTGCATTAATACACACTACTCCTCTCTCTCTCTCTCTCTCTCTCTCTCTCT